TTTTGTAAATAGAGTGTAAGCATGGTATACGTTAATACCTTGGATAAAGAACACTCAAACTGATTAATTTTTATTTATGTTAATTTTGTTAATACAGTATAAGTATGTTTCCATAGTGAGGGATTTGGGATTTCGCGGTATATTCCATATACACAACACACTTGTCAATTTTTTTCAAGATTTCAAGTGTCTGTCGTAACATAACCACAAACCAACCAGTCCGATTACGATGACGTAAACGTACGACTACGATGGGCAAATATCGATTGTAGTAGGATCTATCGATTATATCGATAGTTGGTGACTGACCACTCGAGTACTCGACCGAATCAACGATGACGTCATGGCCTGCTGTGCTCTCTAATACAGCGCTGTTCACGGAGGAAATTTGAACTAAATTTGCCTCATTTGTACCTCCCTTCAGTCAGACCCTGGGTGCTGCCAGTCTGCTATACACTGCTATTTGGATTGCTTTTCTCTATAAACCCATATTATATGTGAGTTTTAGGTTTCCTTATTTTATATATTATATACGTGCTTTTTTATTAATATTTGATTTTAAAGTGTGTAATGATGTTTTATTTTAATGTTTGTCATCATCAAATAAAAGAAGTAAAATTTATTACTAAAAACATTATTTGTGCTGAGAAAACTATTAGCTTAGAGACTAACCAACTCTAGTCTCTACACCATTGAGGTATAGCTGACCTAAGGTTACCGTTTCGTGAATTATTTTATGTAAAATAATGAATGTATTTGGTAATAGAAAAAATAATGTAGTGTTGTTTGTAGTTTTACCATGCTATCTATCTATCTATATATTAATAGGCAAGCATGTTTCTTTAAAACCTTTTTTCTCAGCTCGTGTGCATCGTAGGGAAAATCTACGCATACCGTTAGAAAGCTATTTTCCTGTAGGTGTGCAGAATCCCTTTATAAATTTAAATAGGCTCAAAGATAAGCACAAAAATGAGTTTAAAGATTTGAAAAAATTAACATGGATCTTATGCGTTGCCATGCTGGTGACGAAATAACAACGAAATATAAACAGGAAATCAAAACAAATGGAAGAAACTCCAATCACATGTTTTATTTACAGTATGGGGTGAAAATAGAGAAGTGAGTACATTACATATTTTTGGTCGAGTTTCGACCACTGGACGACCTCTCGTATAAATAATTCCAAACAGATATTACAAACCCTTTCCTACTGGTGTTAAAAAATAATCATGATCTAAATATGAATCAGCAGGATGTTGCATACCTGGTATTGACTAGGGATGCAGGTATCTTAAGTACTAATGTGAAATCCTAATAAATAAGATTGCTGTATCTTTTGCTAATATGAAAATAAAAATAAAAATAAAATATTTAATATAATTTTAAATAAAAAACTGAAATTCTAATTCTTACTACCTTTTTATGTAAAAAAGCGAGGAAATTATATCAGGGGATATAATTGACAAAAACTCAACATGATTTTAGAAAACTTTCATTAATAATGTTTTAACTTGACTAATTGTTTTAAGTTTTCAAATCAATTTTATTTATTTTAATTTTTTCCTTTATAATATAAATTTAATACACACATTTAATTCATATTTTTAAATTTATTTCATTTACAGTTTTTAAAATTCAATTTAAAACATTTTAATTTATTTTAAAATTTAATTATTTATTTTATTTTAAGTTAAAATTTTGAAAATAAAAATATTTTACAAGATTTTGTAACTGTTTTTGCATAATAATACCATTGAATTTTGGATAGGTACTGAAGTTGTATTGATAGTCAAAGATACTTTACCGTGTCATTCCGTTTCACAGTTTCCCAATGATCTAAATTTTAATCATGTTTGTAATTTATTTATAAAAACATAAAATGAGTTAAAAAAGTGTTTTTCTGATTATTTACACCAAATTAATATAAAAAACTGGGGATTTTTTTTACATTTACACATATTCGTGAGAACGGAAGGGTTAAAAGGCGTCACATATTTGGGTCACTCAGATAATATCAGAGACATATTTCTTATAGTTGTATTTTCTAAATTCCTCTGTTCTGTTTTCACACTTCTTCCCAGTTCGTTGAGTTGCCTTTTAAAGTGTGGTAGATGGTACCGCTGCCAAAGTCGTCTAACTTTATGATTTTCTCTAATTAGGTACATTGTTCTCATTGGAGGATGATAGCATTAATTTTTACACCAATATAGCTTCTCTATCTCTGGAGTTTCCCATGTTAACCTTATGAGAAATGGAATTATTGAATCTTAACAGCTGTTTCAATTAAACAAGTTGGTTCTGTTCTATGATGTTCAATAGCATTAAAGTTACTAGGATTACCAACAGGGTGCAGCACTATTATTTCTTTTACATTTATGACAAAAGCTAATTTGCAACTAAAAGGAGAGTGAGCGTAGCGAACGAACTTCAACCTGGAGGCGAGTGAGCGTAGCGAACAAACTTCAACCAGGACGTGATTGAGCCATGCGAACGAGATAATCTTGAAAATTAAGGAGTTAAACGGGGCAAAGCCCGCGGGTTACAGCTAGTATTGTATAGAATACCCATAATTTTGAAATTTTCCACATCGGTTGGATGTGTCTCAGTAATACATGCAATATCAATGCTCTCTAGCCATAAACGCGATAAAAGAAACACGCCGTTTATCTCAAAACCCATTGGCATTTCAGTTAAGGAGGGTTAAAATGTTAACTTGAAAATAATTGATCTGATCCATTTGAGAGAAAAGAACTTATCATACAGATACAAACATAAGATTAAACCAACAACAGAACTCACTTGTAAACATAAATTGGTACAACAAAGGAAATCATATAATACAGATAAGGGGTGAAATGTAAATAATCTGTTATGTTAACAGATCATCTTAAGAGTCGGCAGTAGTCAATAATTTTGCATTGTTGTTGACCGTCAGATGCCCCAGGCTTAACAGTGGTTGTCCAAGCACCGATCAGCAAAAACATGCGTTCACGTTGAAGTTTTTTTAGTGTGGCCTTGGCTGAAGCTTATTAATCATGCACCGTAAGCCTGATTACCAAGCAGAAAATTGTATGTGATTCTTAAATATATTTTCAACGTGAATTACATTTTTGATTTTTAAAACTTTTGTTTTTGAGGTTAAAAAAAAAACACAGTTTAAGTCAATATATTTAGTAGTTAAACAAAATACTAACAACTAAAATAAAAAAATAGATAGCAAATCACATCCGTGGTTTCAATAGCTTTAAAATGTGATACTGTATTTTGCAACTTTTTATCTGAATAAACAATGCCGTAATATGCTTCAACCATTATTAACATTAGCGTTATAAGCAGAAAATCCAAGTTGGCCGGCGGTCCTGCCAACTCTTAGCAAACCCCTTCAATTGATATTTCGTTAAAAAAATTAATCGGTTTGACGACAACAAATTTGTTACATCAGTCTATATTATTCATTATATCATCTTATTTGCGCAATTGCACGAACCTTTCTTTACACAGTTCTTTTGTAAAAAATCGGCGAGATTATCCTGGCTAGTTACATAGTAGCCCACTCAGCACGTAAGCTTAAAATAAGTTTTTTTTTTACTTGTTTTGAACTCTTATATAAGCAAGCTTGGTAAAGTTATTCCTAAGCATAAACCCAGGTGTGGAGCCCAAGTGGACATTCCCAAGTATATTTTAAACTTGGTTTTTATGGCCTTGCACACAGTGTTCTAAGTTTTTATTTTCATCCGCTAGTTTAGTATCCCATAGTACACATGAGGTTGAGTCTGGAAAATGCAAAGAAAGCCATTCTATGGGTACTTTGTGGCAATTGGTCCCTCAGACGTCTTAAAAGATACACTTCTATCTGTACTAGTACGGTACTTAGTTAGTACAGACTTGGCTTTGGTCTATCCAATTGAGACAGGGCTAAGGGTTTATACCAAGGAGTTTGACAGGCTCTTGCCCTCTTGGAATGGAACAATCTGGGAATCACATAGGCTAAAATGTTATGCACTGTGTTTCCTCATTATTGAGCACTAATTTATTGTAAACAAACCAATTAGAGGCTTACGTCAAACCGCCATCTCGGTGTTTTGGTCAGAGACATGGTAGCATGTCATAGTGCATCATCTCACAGTATAGTGCATGTTATGCACTATAGAACAAAATTAGAATCAGGCACTGTAAGACAAATTCACGATTAGGCACTGTATGATTATGCACTATGAGACTCTATGGAAATAGAGATAAGCTATTTTTGTTGTCAAATGTCAATACTTAAATTAATTTGCACGATATTTTAAGCTAGAGGTTCAATAGTTGGTGTTCCTTTTGTGTCATTTGGCTGTTCCACTATTAAGCGGAACCATAGATTAAACATACTCCCTTAAGGAGTAATGTTTAAACATACTCCTAAGGGAGTATGTTTAATCTATGGCGGAAACCTCCAATTTCCGTTATGCACTATAGGAATTTTGCCCACTAGGCACTATAAAACAAATTGGAACAAGATGCACTATGAGACAGTTTCACCATAGATAGATAAAACATACGTATGTTTTATCTATGGTTTCACCATGAGATTATGCACTATGATACGTTTTCACTTTTAGACACTTTGTATTAGGTACTGTGAGATTATGCACTATGGCATGCCACCGTATTCAGGATGCGTACGGTAATCCAAACTCGAAACGTTTTGTTATAATGTATATATTTCCTAAAATTGTAAAAAAAAAACTAATTTGAAACAAAACACTCGGGTATAAGACAAGAACCATGGGTCAAATTATAAACCTCACCTCTGGTTTAATTTGATAAAATTCTTTCGTATATATGCGCGTAATTCATTTATTCATTGTCAAGTGTTTATATAATCAATGATGCTATATTATACTTTTTGTGCAGAAATATCCTGTTCTCGCGCAACTATTATTGTTTTCCTGTCTGTCTCATAGAGCTCAGGCCATACCAACTGCGGTCTGCTAAAGTAACGGTAACCTAGCTCTCTGATTGGCCAAGAAATGCACCTCTACGTCACACACAATCGTCAAACAAGAGGTGTTGCCATATCCATTTCGGGAGATTTTGTTGTGACTCAATGAGGGGGTTATGAGTGAATGTGTGAATGTGCGGTATTTGTGAGGTGATAAATTAGGTTTAGTAAGTTTCATGTGTGGATTAGCCGAGCCAAAGGTGTAAAATTTAATGTAAGTAAAATCTTCTTTCATCTAAAATAGAATTAGTTGCATCAGTCAATGTTCTATTTTCAGATCTTTCAGTCATTGGACCATCCCACTTTTCTCGTAATGATCTCATGCAGACCTAAGTTTTATTTATTTGTCGTAAAATATAGGTCTACCAGTTAAACAGGTAGGGTATTTAACAAATTTCCGGGAAAGTAAACAACAATTAACTTAAGCTTGTGATGGGGAATAGCAAGTGACAATTTGAATGCAGGACTAAGCTACAGGAGAATAAAAACTAGCCTAACTAACTTACCGTTACCCTTAAGCTTAGGTCTTGACCTAACTTTTAAGTTAAGTTACTTAGGAGTAGAGCTGGAGCAAAGCCCCACTAGAAAAAAAAAGTTTTTCTAGTGGGGCCTTGGCTGGAGTGTGTATTGTCTGTTGTTTCTGACACTGATGTTCTCTTCAACTGATTAATAGCTTATTTTCATTTTCTCTTGCCAATGTAACCGTTGTCCAGTTTGATTTTGTAGTGCAGAGCTCTGAGTTGAAAAATAACCGAACTTGAGAAACAATAGGGTAGGCCTACTTAACTTAGGTACCCTACAGAAGTTTGGAACAAAGTGCAGCTATCTGTTTTTTGTGCTTTCCAAAAAGTCAACAGTGTACAATCATCAACGCTACTATTGTAAATCCCTCATGTGTAATATGCTTGATTCAAGCTGACCAATTTACTAAAGTGTAAATTTTGCATATTTTTAAAATTTTATTGATCAAAAATTGATGAATATCCTACATGAATGCAAGACTAGGAGTCTGTAATGGATTTGCAATAAAGCACCAGGTCACTACTCAATACATTCCTGGGTCACACTTCCATATCAGTTGGCACAAACAACCGAATGAAAATATCGATTATTCGATAGCCTATAGCCTATCGTTTGGTTAGTTAGGTTAGGTTAACCTTACCTTACCTTATTCAAAATCTTCCTCTAAAACAACAAAATATTATCTTGCGAGGAGCAAATACTAAAGCGAAACACAGTGGATGGCTGTCATGCATTCCTCTGAAAAAACTTAACTTAGATCTTTCTCCACTGCAGTTCAGAGATGCTCTTGCATTAAGATATGGGAAAACTCCTATACACCTCCCCTCTTCATGTGATGGCTGTGGCAAAAACTTCAATACGGAACATGCCCTTAACTGTCGCACAGGTGGTTTGATAGTAAGAAGACATAATGAGGTAAGGGATACCCTTGGAAGCTTGATGGAGAATTAAATAATTTTAGCTATGACATTAACTCATGGGGAAACTGTGTTCGAGAACCAATGATCTCTGAGCAAGGGTCATTTGATACTGCAGCACTAAAAGCAGACTTGGCTTGTAGGGGTGTATGGGAGTTTCAGACGGAAGCATTATTCGATGTACGTGTCGTTGACACTGATGCTCCGTTGTACTTGAACCTCCCATGTACGAAAAAGTGTTGGAGAATGAAGAAAGAGAGAAGAAGAAATATTTAACAATAACAGAAACCAGAAATTCATCTTTTACCCCACTAGTTACGTCTGTGGACGGAATGCTGGGCCTTGCTCAGAGCAATGGCAGAACGCCTAACAGAAAAATGGAAGAAACCTTACAGTTTAGTGATAAACTGGATAAGGGTAAAAACCATCTGTGCGACGTTAAGGGCCAGCAGCATGTGTCTAACGAGGACAAGGAAGAAGTGGAGGACCCTTAGAGAGTTTGAAGATGGGGCTGGAGTACCAGTTATTTATTAATTTAAATGGCAAATGTTTTATTATTTTTCCATGTCAAAATTAATTAGGCCTAATAAAGCATTAAAGTGTTTTGCTTTGTAAAAAAACCTTACCTTACTAACCAAACGATATAGGCCTATCGAATTAAACAATCAATATTACTCATTCGGTTGTTAAGTGCTTCAACAGATATGGAAGTGTAACATACCCCATTCCTGATCAGAATGAGGTCGCAAAGGCTAGAAGCATGCTAAGTGACTCAAATTTTAGCAAGGGTTACTGCAGTACCTATGCTGTGGAGGTAGCTATTTATCTTATAAACCGAAGTCCTATAAAAGCTGTTTTTGGAGTCGCTCCACAGGAGAAATGGACTGGATCGAAAGTGGACCTCAGTCACCCAGGGCCGCCCTCAAACCTCCGGCGCCCTTGCTGCCCGTTTTTAAAAGTGGGCCTGCAGTCACCTTAGAGTTTTTGGTTGCATAGGCTATGTGCATAATCCTAAGGAGAGAAGGACCAAATTGAACTATAAGAGTGTTCCTCACATTTTTGTAGGTTACAGTGGGAGGATGTCAAAGGTTACAAATTTGTCGACCATAAGTCTCCCTGTAGAGTGATTTATTCTAGAGATGTAAAGTTTTTCGAAAACATTTTATAATGATCGTGAAGAAAATAATGGTGGTGAAGAAAATAGTGGTGGTGAAACAGAACTGTACAACCAGTCGAGACCATAGTAAGCATCCAGACCCCCAAACTCGATGAACCTTACAGGAATCCTGAGGCAGAAGAGGAAAGCTTCATCCTCTATAAGTAGGTATCAACATTGTGCAAGATGATGGCGATGTTGGAACTGAAGAATCTTCTGAAGTTGATTTGAGAAATGAAGAGGAAGGTGTTAAAATTAATGTTGGTGGTAGGTACCCTCTAAGAGTAAGAAAACCTAATAATGTTTCCTGATTTTGTTACCTACATAGTTACCCGTGAGGATCTAGAGCCAAGTAGTTATCAAGAGGCAGTAGAAGATCCGAATAAGAATTTGTGGAAGTATACTATGGAGGAGGAGTATACCTCGTTGATTAAGAATAACACATGGACTCTTGTTGATCTACCTCAAGGTCAAAATGTTGTAAAATGTAAGTGGGTGGTAAAGACCGTAATGGAGTGATTGTGAAGCATAAGGCAAGACTGATAGCAAAGGATTTTACGCAAAAATATGGTGTTGACTATGAGGATACTTTCTCGCCAGTGGTAAGATTTGAAAGTTTGAGAGTTTTGTTTGCACTAGCTTTTAGGTTCAACTTATCCTCCATTGATCACCTAGATGTGTAACATGCGTTTTTTAAATGAAGAGTTGAAGGAAGGAAAATACGTCAACCGGAGGGTTTTGTAAAAAATTACTCAGAAAAAAAAGTTAAAAAGGCCATATATGGTTTTAAAAAGCAGGCATCGAAAGTGTGGAATGAAAAATGTGAAATTGTATTGCAAGAAATGGGGTTTACACAACTAGAGTTAGAACCCGTGTATCTTTGCACTGTTTACACAAGGCAAACTTGCTACCTATTATAGCTTTGTAAAAATCAAATGTATAGGACTACCTACAGTTAAAAGGATATTTTGAAATCAAGGATCTTGGTGATGTTAAAAATGTACTAGGCATGAGAATAACTAAGGAAAATTATATCCTGAGAATTGATCAAACAGCTTACATTGAGACAATTTTGACACGATTTGATATGATGGACTGTAATCCTGCCAACACATCTATGGAAGAAGGGCTAGACCCTAAAAAGCCAGAGGTAAGCAGTATCAACTTGCAGTATCAAGAGCTGATAGGCAGTCTTATGTATTTGTCAGTGAGTACAAGACCTAATACCGGTACGGTATCACTTTTAGTGTGACGAAATTGAGTCAGCATAACACCTGTCATTCTGAGGAGCACTTTAAGTATGCGCCAAACGTTTTTTAAGGTAGTTAAAGAGAACAAAATCTTATTGTACACAGCTGATGAAGAACCTCTAAATGGTTTTGTTGATGCCAGTCATGGAAACAACTTTGATGGGAAAAGTTTTACCGGATATGTTTTTAAACTGTGTGGAGGACCTGTGTCTTGGGGTAGTAAGAAACAGAGATGCATGACAAATTCCTCAACAGAGTCAGAGTATGTAGCAATGGTTCAGGCATGCAAGGAAGTAATGTTTCTGAAGCACTTGTTGGAAGAGCTAGGAATATTTCTTGAGCGTGTAAATTTGAATTGTGAAACAATGCCAGCAATAAAGATTTTACTGAAGAGAACAGTGAATGACAAGACCAAACAAATAATTCGTAAACAGCTATTTGTCAGGGACATAATCAAGAGAAAACTAGTTGTGCTAAATTACGTTCCAACTTCCAGTATGGTAGCTGACATTTTGGCCAAATCACTTGGTAAAATCAAGCATGATGGTTTGACTTGACCGACCTTGGTATTACCTCAATGAAGGATCAAGATTAAGGAGGGGTGTTGGAATTTGTAATCTTGATCCTCATTGCCTTCTTGGTCTTAAGTTTATGACAGCTGCCATGTGTTTGCTATGTTCAAACTTACTTCTACTATGGACTTAAGAAACCATACTTTGTTGTCATTTTATTATTATTAAGGATTATGTCTAAATTATTATAAAGGAAAATCAATTATAAAACAAGTTGAGTTTACCTACACATTAAATGTAATTTATTATTGTTACCAGTATTTTATTGTTATATTTTATTGATTTAGGTATATTTTGCCGTTTAGAAATTACATAGCCTAATAAAATGGTGCTGTTCTAACATAACCTTACCAAACCAAACCTCTAGAACGTTAACAAACTCCTTTTTAAAACGTTTTTATTAGCTCGCTTTCTTGTCCGGTACAAATTTTGAAATCAATTTTATACTAACTTCCCGACGAGCTAGAGACTAGGACTTGGAACATAGGCTAGCTCACAAATGGAAGACAATGCAATATTATATCATTTAGTTTTCATATTTCCCTTGGGCTACGCCCCATTGGCTTGTTTTTATTAAATCGCTTTCTTGCAAATTTTGATACTTCCCGATGAGCTAGAGATTTGAAATTTGAAACATAGCTCATAAATGGATGACAATGCAATATTATATCATTTAATTTTCATATTTCCCTTGGACTACGCCCCATGGGCTTGTTTTTGTTAGCTTGCTTTCCTACAAATTTTGATATCAATTTTAAACGAAGTTCCCGATGACCTAGAGACTTGAAACTTGAAAT